CAGAGCCTGTGAGTGAGTGAGTGAGTTGAAATGGCCCATTGTCGCTACCAAAACTTCTCTTGTTCGCGCTTGCAGGAATCTGACGTTGCGAAATTTTCACGAAGTGTACTGCTGGATTTGGCCGCATCCTAGCAAGATCATTGCGCGACATATGTTGCGAACGTATCTTTCATGCATCCTCTGAATCAAATCCGACCTCGGGTAACAGCCGTTACACCAAAGAACCGTGCACCCAGCGTCGACTCAAGGACCCTGGGGTCACACCGCCAGGCACAGGACACGGATCAGGCTTCAAACATGTTGTCAGGGCACACGACAACATTGCAAACGTCTGAACTGATTGCAGGTGCATTTGCGCCAGACGCGTCGCCACCAGCATGAACACGTCCCTTTGGAACCCAGCTGCACGTGCGAGCACTAGATAAAACCAAGGAAGTCCGGGAGTGCCAGCGTGGAGCTGATAAACTGCCTCGGGCCTCCCCTGCGCTGGGACACCAAACCGTGCATAAGCGGAAAACGGCATGCGTCGTTCGTTTCTGCACATACATTTATACAAATACGACAATCAAACCCACCTATACTACACCTACCTACCTACCTACCGACCTACCTACCTCCATCCATACGTACATGCATACATATGTACGTACACAGAGACGTTCTTGCACACAGACAGACAGGCAACGAGCAGGCAGGCATGCGGGCGAACGGGCGGGTAGGCAGGCAGCCAGCCACAGCCAGACAGATGAACAGCCAGGCAGAAGCGTATGTCACAGTATCAGTATAGTAAGGAACCCAAAAGGAATACTGTTGGTACTTAGGCTTCCGTAGTATGTCCGGTCTCTCTTGGCGATTGCGGGATCTCCTATGTGCAGACCCTGGCACCGGGGCAGCCGAAGGCCGCCACGGCTTCAGAGACCAGGCGCATCCTGGGCTGCCCGCGTTTCGGTCGTGGCTTTGAAGCTCCGGAATATAGGCCTTATAGACCCCGCTAAACGATGCCTAAATGGGAGGATCTCGACTTCGTGACCGTTATACTACTAAAGCGTGCTTTGCAGGAAAGGTTTCCCTTTCAGCCCACTCCGTGAAAGGATCCCGAACTCCCTCATAGGGTTGTCAAAGCCCGGCCTGATGGTCGTGGGGTTAGCCCCAAAAGCTCGGGAGGAGCGAGACAGCAGATCCCTTGAGTTTGCACCCTATACTACTAAAGGGTACGACGAGTACTTTACAGAAGGGATCTGCTTTTTGGATTCTTTCGGGAGTCTGGGAAGGGCGTCTTCCACGGCTTCATGCGGGTCCGCAGGGTTTTAGGGTTGAGGGTTTGAAGCTTGATGCCTAAAGCTGAATGCCGGTGAGGCTTTATCTGTGCCCGCAGGCTCGAACTCCTGAGGAGGTCAAGTTGACGGTGCATCTTGGTTCCGGGCGGGTCGTCAATAGGGTCATGAGGGTTGAAACAAAACTGTTGAAGGCTTAAGGTTTAGGATTGGAGGCTTTGGAGTCGTGCGTAAGCCTTAAGTGCTTAGGGGTTTGCGCGTCGTGGATAAGATAGGCTCACCCTGAACGCAGAAACTATACCCTACCCATTTTCCCGAAAACCAAAACGCTGGCCGTGCGCAGGCCAGGGTATCCAAAGCCTGGAGCTGGAAAACAGCCCCCAAACCCGAAGTTTCACTGGGCAAGGCCCCTTTGAGGTACATCAAGCCCCCCTCCTTGAGAGCTTAGGGCCTCAGGCTTCGGGCTTTGCGGGCTGTGGGCCTTCCGGGGTTTGGGGTCTGCCTGGAATTTTGGAGCTTCAGGGTCTCTATGTAGGCACTACATAGTGGGGGTTCAGGGCTTAGGGACTTGTAGGGTTTCAGGGTTGCGGGGCGTCAAGGCTTAAAGTTTCGGGGTGTCATTTGGGGTTCGTAAGGTGCGAGGGCTGGGAGTGATACCTGAAACTCTTGAGCCCCAAACCCGAAGCCCTAACCAAAACGCCCAAAACCCTGAACTGCACTAAACTGCCCTGACCTCCCGAACCCTCAAGCCTTAAATCCTAAACCAAACCCTAGTTTTGAGCCCTAAGCCCTAAACCCCAGCCTAGGCCTCAAACCCTAAACCTACAGCTCCCCAAAGGAGCCCTTAAAGATGCCTTTGAAGGACCACCCCGAACGCTTAAAGACCCCAAGCCCTTGACTCCCCCAAGCCCCCTGTCTCCAGCCGGGCTCTCAGCATCCGTCGGCATGAAGAAGCAGAGGACGCGGAGGTCCTCTCTCGGAGAGCACACTTCGTAGAATTCGGGGCTCCTCTAAGAGGGCTCCCTCAAAGGGCAGGCTCCTTTACCCGGCTACAGAAAGACTTCAAGAAGGGGTGTAGTATAGGGGCCTTGACAGTTGGAACACCGTTTTCGTACATATGCCATAGAACGGACGGTCGCGTTTAGGAGTTTCCAGTTAGGGTTCAGGGTTTAGGGTCTAGAGTTTAGGGTTTACTGCAAGGATATCTTCGGCACCGTTCGAGAATGAAGCGCTTCATGTATGGAAGTCTGAAGGCTTTCAAACGGCTCTGAGGGCTTGGACCTTGGGATTCTGGGTGCTGTGGAATGTCGTGGACTCTATTTTGGAGGTCTTAATAATTAGAATAGGGTTGTGGGTATATTTAGACTATTTAGACTATAACCATAAATAAGGAACCCCTCAAAGTAGTGTTGGTAACTATGTAGGTCCCCACATATTACGTGGGGCTTCTGGCCTCAGGCCTTCTCAGGCTTTCAGGGCTTCAGGGTGTCACAAGCGAAGCCCGTGCAGCGCCAGAAACCCGAGAAAGAATGCAACAGGAACAGGAGACTCCAATGCCAGAAAAGTCAGCAGAGCCCGGCTGCAAATATAGATTGAAATGGATAAAGACCCCCTGTAGCATATCAAGTGCACATTAGCTAGAACTCTTTCCTTTGTTGTGATGGTCAGCTTGTACACCGTCTGCCCAGCCGTGGACGTGGAGGTTTCCTCCTCGCGGCCCAGTGCGCGCGAAGTTGGCACCAAACTGCACTACACCCTCAAACTCAAACCCGATAGTTATTAGGACGATAGTACTACTGTTATAGTTCTACTCTTGCAGTAATACGACTAAAACACTACTAGACTGGCATGGCAAGACTATTATAGTAACACCGTTGTGGAATTATAGTACTACTCCTACAGTAATACTAGCCTTCGGCCCCGAGCCCTGAACCGCAACCTCGAAACCTTGACTTTGCGTTTGGATGTTCGGTCTTGGGCTGAGCGCCAAAAACGTTGCAGCCGTCATAGGCAAGACTGGATTCCTTTTGAATCTGCCGATCCCTGTCAGGATGTTGAAGTCTCAGGATCCACCACTCAAATCCTCATGTATTCAAGAGCCTTCGACAGCCCGGCATGGCAACCAATGATCAGCCTTTTGAGCCCAACAAGCATCATACAGGAGCCTTTGCCATCCTTTGCCAGACACTTTCATATCGAGCATTTCATTCGCTGCATTTCTAGTAAACGATTCCACCCCCAGACCCTCAAAGCTAAACCCTGAAGCCCTAGAAAAGCCCTAGACCCGAAACCCCCACTCCGTTTCGTTGGCACCTTGGCGCTCTCCACGGCTCCGAAGGGCACGTCGAAGTACTTCGCCTCTCGCATCCACTGGAGCTCCTTCCTCTCGGAGACAAAAAGAGGCCGCAGGACCAGACTGACGCAGCCGAAAGGAAGACGTCTGCTAGCTACTCTGGCTTCCAAAACAGGCTTGCAGGGCTTGGGCCCGGGTCTGAGCCTCGTACCGTAAGGGCACACAGAGTTAGGGTTTGGGGGTTTAGGGGTTTAGGGTTTAGGGCTTCATGAATTAGGGTTTAGGGCCAAGTTCAAGGGTTTAGAGTTTAGGGTTTATTGCATGTGGTGCTTTTTCTACTGCAAATATACAGGCACTCCAGACAACAAGCGGTCACAAACAATCCATCGGCCAAGATTGCCTGCTTGTAACTAGGACCCGGCCACCTGAATTGGTGGCTACAGCCAGACAAGATGAAGGCTTTTCAGCTACTGTAGGCTATGCGAAGTTCATGAGAGGGATATGGAAGGCGCGAGACTCCCTGAAGCTTAAACTCTGAGCATTGCTAAGCTCGGAGACTCGGAGACCTCGGGGTCTGGAAGTGTCCTTGCCCCGACCTTTCTTAGGTGGCACTCAAACCGTGTTTGGTGGGACAGCGAAGCCCTAAAGCCCTCAGGTCCTGAGGCTTCCCTTAGGGATCATGAACTTCAGGCGGTAGGGCGTCATTTGGAGGCGGCCGGCGACTTCGCAGAAGGGGTTCTGCACCAGCAAACTGCAGGATTTCACCTGCTCCACCACGTGCTCCCCCGCCAGCGTGCCCTCGAAAGTGGGCCTCGGAGGCGACGCGCCGGAGCCCGGCGAGGAGCTCGTGGCCACCGTGGCCGCGGGGGCCAGGAAGGAAGCGAGGGCCGGCGGCGGCACCGCCTCCGCGGGCGCAGCCGGCACGGCGCTGGCGCTGGGCGCAGCTTTTTCCGGGGCCGTCACGGTGGTGGCCACCGCAACAGCGGCGGGAGCGCTGGCATAGCCTGCAGGCAGCGGCACCGCTGTCGCCACAGGCACAACCTCGGCACGCTCGGCTTGCTTGGCTTCCGTCTGCTTGCGCAGCGCCGTGAGAGGGTCCATGGCTCAGTGCATGGGCCCAAGCTCCAAGTGCCTCATGCCGGGGCCCCAAGGTTCTCGGCTAAAGGGGAAGCGGGTCACTGCACCGTCCTTACAAGACGAGCTCTGGACTTCAGTGGGGATACGGCTCGAACCAGCCAACTCCTCATCGCCTTAGCACAAAGCCAACGATGTTCCAAGGTCGGCAGTGCGGGGACTTCTGTTCTTCGGTTCCATGCAACTCATCTCAAAGCGTCTCAAAGCCAATGCTGCCAAGGGCACTGTACAGGCAAACTGCAGGGGCCTCAAGACTTACCCGTACTATTTCGCTGTTGTCATCAGCATAGTATGGTATAACCCTTTTCTACTTCTGAAGGCTTGCAAACCCCAGCATCCTCTCATCGATTTCGGTTTAGGGTTTAGGCGCTTGGGCTCTTGAGCTCTTGGGCTCAACCCTAAACCCCAAACCCTAATAGGTTTTAGGGCTCAGGCTAAGGCTCGAAGAGCTGCAAAAGGCTCCTTGGTAGGGGCGATTGCAACGATCTACTTAGAGGGCGTAGCCAGAATGTGGGGTCTAGGGTTTAGGGTTTAGTATAAGTCCCCTAATATGGATTATGACTATAGTTGCCCTACTTAGAACCCCACTTATAACTAAACATGAACCTCCAATTAGGAAGTACGGCAAGGAATCCTAGCTGAGCCTCGAGCTCCTCCACTGGCATTTAAGAGAGCTTGGGCAGAACCCTCGAGAAAGCAGCTGCAAGGAGGATGTAGGAAGCTAGTCCTAGCGCACCCGTCCCAAGCCAAAACTGAGACAAGGTCCAACTTCTTGGAAAGCTCAGTGCTACACAACGGAGACAGCCCGAAGAACTCTAAAAAGCAAGACCTGTATCACAAGAACCCCCCCCCCCCCAAAAAAAA